CCGTGCGGATATAACGCTTGGGCTGAAATGAGCCCCCCCGGAGTCTGCACACCCCTAGTGAGTACAGGTACCTATTGAGTATGAGTACTGAGGACTAAGAGCCGAGTGATTGAGTTGTTGTGATGAGTTGAGTGACTGTTGCCCTGAGAGATTGTACTTGCTTTTTATTTGTTGATGCACTTAATTGCTATCTGTCATTGTTGTGAAATTTCTGAAAGATTCTATATCCGGATTACTTGAACTTGGACTGTATAAAACTGATTTGACTTAAACTGCCGGATTTGAAAGCATGTATATTCTTTGTTGGAATTATTAAAAATGAACTGTAATTGTATAGCTCGTCATTACCTTCTCAGTTCCTTATTTATTTCTATTACTTGCTGAGTTGGTTGTATTCACGCTACACCCTGTGCCTCGTGTGCAGATCCAGGTACTTCTGGTTACGGCGGCTCTGATTGAGGAGATAGGATCTCGGAGACTATCGAGGTAGCTGCATGGCGTTCGCACGCCTTGACTCTCCTTCATTATCTTTATCTGTACTTCAGTTCCTTAGACATTATAGTAGACTGTATTCTAACATAGATGCTCATATACTCGGTGACACCCCGATTTTGGGATAGATTGTATTGTGTTGTGGGTTTATTTCAGTTTTAAAAAGGGTTTTCTTAAATATTAAATTGCTTCCGCCTATATTTTAAAGTTTTTATTGGGTTGAGATAGTTGAGTAACGGCTTGCCTAGTTCCACGATAGGCGCCATCACGACGGTTGATTTTTGGGTCGTGACACACCCCCACTCCCCACTCCCCTTTTTTCTTGTATTGATTGTTGTAAATTTAAAACACCTATATTTGTGAATTCTAACGTAAAAGTTTCACATATGCTTAATCATATCGACATGTATTCATACTTTAAAATATATTTTAAAATAAAATCTTATTATCTGATTCACCTATGTAGTGAATGTACTATAGCTCAAGTTGCATAAAATTTAAAGTGTTAAGCAAAATATATACTGATACAAAATTCACATATGTTGTCGCAAAAGTATAATAGTGTATTTCACTCTACTTACCAATGATCTAAACATCTAAATTCGTCTCCACTTATGTTTACACCAAATAACGTTTATATGGGGAATGGGGTTTACGTTGATATGAAAGACAATTCACTTGTTTCATAAATTCGTGAAAATAAACAGCTAGGCCACTTTCAAAGAGGGGGATGGTCCTAAAAGAAATGTTTAACAAAGAAGAAAAAAAAGAAGATATTTGGCAAAACCAAGAAACCCCATCCTTGCAAAAGATAGAAGAACAGACGACGTAGTCCTTAAATAATTTGTCTACCCAATTTGAGTCTGTTAAACTCTTTGATAGCTACTAATATATATTTTTCTAAAACCCCACAAAAAAGAGCAACAACAGGAGGAGTAGGAAAGTTGGGCACCCCCTGCCAAGCACCAACAACAAGTTATTGTGAAGCGATAAATACTCTTTCATTTTTAATATAATAATTCGTGTTCGAGTTCGAGGTATGAAGTCGCTTTTATTAGAAAATACTATACCCACTAATATAGGAATTTTCGACGTGAATTCGAATATTATCATACTTCAACACGAGCACCGAAAACCGAAAACCATAGAAAAACCTTTTAAAAAAAAGGCAAAATCCCATTAAGTTAGTTCTTCTTTCGTGGTCCCAAAATTGCAGCCAAAGATGAGCCATTTTGTACGGACAGTTGTGAGGGTGGGTTTTTTTGAATTTTTGGAGAATTTGTGGGGGCTCCTTTGTGCAATTTCGAGGGGACACGGCATACCATATCATTCTCTATATGGGCTAATAAGCCATTTACATTACGTTTTGTTAAATAATAGTGACGCCTGCCTCAACTTGCACGCATTTAAAATAAGTTCTTCAAATAATCTCAAATTATAGCTTATAAATAAATATTAGGTCACCTATTTATCAAAGTTGAAAAAGATAAATTCAATCATAGTGAAAGTTTAAACATGAAATGTTCATGTTATTACTTGTATGGCTCAGCTATTTGGCCATAGATTTTGTCAAGTTTTTTCCAATTTATTTTTTGGCAAAACCCGTTTGTTTATAGATTTTATCCAAATTTTGGCAAATTTTGAAAACAAAATTTTCAAATCCCAAAACTAGCTCTACACCTGTTTTTGGCTCAAAATATTACCTTTGAATTTTGTAAGAATTTCAAAAATCACCCCTAACTTTTATATTTAATAAATAAGCACACCATCTATTATGATCCAACTAATCCACCAATTTGTTGCTATCATTTTTTTTTGGACTGATGGATCTTATAATATTATTACAATTTGACGAATTGTAGTAGCTAGTAATTGTGTTATTAGTAGTTGCAATTAAAATATCAAGTTATTATTTTAGGATAATGTATTATGTAGTTCATTATAAAAATGATGATGTTGTGCCAAACTCATCTATGTTCAGGACTATAATTTGTGATAATGATAATGAATGACACCGATAAAGGTTCTGTGTATACATGATTAACAAGTTTGTTTGTTTGATATTGTTGAGTATTTTTGATAATTTTTAGAACTTATGGATATAAGTTACGTTTCATGTGTTTTTAAAATAAAATAAAATAAAATATGTTTTGAAAATTTATGTCCAAATAGATTTTCATCTTCAAACCAAACTTCACTCAAATAAAATTTTTTAAAATAAATTTGAGAATGTATGGCCAAACGCTAGGTAAGAGACTCGGGAAATCCACTATATTGTTGCATCCAACCCCAACAAAAAGAAATATACAAAGATAAGCGTTGTTTACGTTACATTACATTAAATAATAATGACGTTTGACTCAACTAGCATGCATCTAAAATAATTCTTCAAATAATGCATTGTTATAACTTATATCACGATTACAATTTACAAATATCAGAAAAATCTATTTATCAAAATTTGAAATGGATAAATTAAGGGTTATAGTTAAAATTTAAACATGAAATATTCATGTTATTACTTGTATGCCTACTTAAGAAACCTACTTTATTATTGCCTCCAACAAGCCAAAAAAATAAATGAAAATACAAAGACAAGCACTATTTATTGTAATGATGTCTGATTTAACTAGCACACATCTTAAATTGACTTTTTCTAATATTTTTTTGTTATAACTTACAACACGATTACATATATCGAATAGACGGATTTATCAAAGTTTGAAATGGATAAATTATGCGTTATAGTAAAAGTTTAAACATAAAAAATTCAAACTATTACGGTCAGATCTCTCGTAACAATATTTTTCTGTTTCAAAGTATTGGGAAACCCACTATATTATTGCACTCAAACCCCAACTAAAAAAAAAAGGAAAATACAAGGACAAGCATCTCTCCCCCCTTCTCTCCCCCCAAAAAAGTAGAAATCTTGAAAGGGGGTGGGGGAGTTAGGGGAAGTTTTAGAGCCTAAAACAAATACCTAAAAGTTAAAGAACTTCTTGGGCCAAATACCCATGTAGAAAAATTGCTTCTTTTTTCCTGTGAAGTTATCATCTTTCTTGCATTTTGTTAGTTTCACAGTGTTGAAGCTGAAATCTTTTTTTTGTTGGGTGTGAGGAAAAAAGATGCCTAGGCCAGGACCCAGACCTTATGAGTGTGTAAGAAGAGCTTGGCATAGTGATAGACACCAACCCATTAGAGGTTCTATTATACAACAAATTTTCAGGTACTTGGAAATTTTGGAGGTGTGATTCTTGAAATTTCATTTATCTAAAGTTTTGATGTTGCTCACCATCTGTTTGATCAGGGTTGTACAAGAAAGGCATAGTGTTGTTACTAAGAAAAACAGAGAATGGCAACAGAAGCTCCCTATTGTGGTTTTCAAATCTGAGGAAATTATGTACTCCAAATCTAATTCTGAGGTTTTTTCCTCTTCTTTTTGGATTTCAATTTCTTGAAAGGGTTTAACTTAGGTTTCTTGAATTTTGATTGTAAGCCTTTTTGTTCCCTCTATATTAGGCTGAATATATGGATCCTGAAACACTTTGGGATCGGTTAAATGATGCCATTGATACTATAATTAGGAGAGATGAGACTGCAGAGACTGGACAATTCTTGCCTCCTTGTGTTGAAGGTACCAAAAAGTTCCACAACTTTATTTTGCCTTGCTGTTCATTTTTACTGCTCCATTTGTTTTTAGCTCAATTCCTCAACAAGAACCATGCCATTTTGCATATAGTTTTCAGACTGATTATGTATGCCTTGTTTAACATGAAACTTTGGTGCTCAGCTGCTCTTAATTTGGGGTGTACTGCGGAGAGAGCCTCTAGGAGCCAGCGGAACACTAATCCGAGGAGTTACCTCAGCCCAAGAAATCAAGAACCTCAATGTGTACCTCCTAAAGTTTTCAGTAGAAGTACCAATGAGCAAAACTCTAACTCATCGTTACCATTTCGCCCTGCGAACCAACCGACTTTCTTGAGACCTTCAAATGTCAATTCACCCGGATTAGCTTCAGATTTTGACAGGCCTGTAATGCCTAGCATCAACAATCTTGGTGCTTCCTCAAGTGAAAAAAACGTTATTATATCCGCTGATGTTGGTTCAGTATATCCGCTGTACTACGGTACTGATATTCAGCCTGAAGTTTCTCCTATGGTCTTCCAAAAGCCTCAACGTAATGTAATTGTTGGCAAACCTATATACCAATCCATCGCGGAGCCTGCTGAAATCAGCGGCTTCCCGAGACTGTTTCCCTGTGGGAGAGATGATATTCAAGAAAAATTATGTCAAGCAGATTATAGGGACAACACTAGGAAGGTGCCTGAATTGGATTGTGATTTGTCCTTAAGGTTGGGTCTCTCTGCAAACTCTCGCTTGCAGTTGGAACAGGTTCAAACTGGTTGCTTTGGTGACATTAGGCCAAGCGACAATTCTCATGAAAGAGACCGGTTCAAGCTTATGTCTACCAGTAAAGGGAAAGAGTTCACTTTCTTTCCCACAGAGTCTGCTAGTGGTCCATCAGGGTTGCACAGAGCTCGTGAAAATTTGGAGGTTTACGGTCACAATGCAGAAAAACTATTTAGGAAGCCTAAGATGCCTGTAAGGCTGAGTGACGGTTTTCAGCAAAGAGACGAGTTCGAGGTTGTTTCTACCAGTAAAGACAAAGAGTTTCCTTTCTTTCTTGCGGAGTCTGCCAATAGTCCGTCGGGGTTGCAAACAGGTCCGGCAAATTTAGAGGGTGAAGGTCAGAATGCTGAAACACTACCTAGGAAACGTAAGATGCCCTTCCATAACAATATGGAACTCGGACAATTTATGTGGCAAGATGAGCTAACTTTGAACCGTTTTTCTGGTCAAATGAAAAGGCCAGGTTTGTAGTCTGTAGACAGGCTCCATTTTGTTGTATCATAAAATTTTGAGAAAAGAAAAGTTTAGGATCCCTCCTTTGCAATTTTATCTTCCATTTTTTGCTTGAATCTGATCTTTTGCATTGTTGAAATACCACATAAATATAATGTTTAAAAAAGGAATTTAGAACTAACAAAAAAAGCAGCAGCAACTGAACTTTGATAGCAAGACCTGGGATGAATGGTTCAATTACAATATTCTCAGATGTGGTATGTTTTAAAACTAACTGCCCCTATAAGCTTCAAACATTTGCTTGGTTTGTTGAGTATGTAAATGAAGTGCAAGATATCAGGTTTGGCGTAATACTTTGGTTTGTGTATCCACCATTATGTTTGCTTGGGCTATCATGCTTTGAACTAAATTGGCCACTGTTACTGTCATGTGAATTTTACTTATTTATTCTCTTTGCGCTGAAAACAAATTTTATATAAGCATCATTGTGAGTGACGTAGGTTGGTGTGGTTACTAATGATATGTATGAGAATCTATTCTTATGGGACAGGAAAAAAATGATCCAAAGCCCCGTTATGTTATTTCCATAATCTAAATGCTCGTTGAAGTAGTTTGTGAATCTGCTGCCTTTTCATCAAGTCCTTTATCTTGCAGCTATCACTTTTCCTTGTTGAATAAGTAATATTGCTGCGGCATCTCTGTTCCCTGGAAATTGTAAAGGTTAACTATCATGGCCTGTTAATTATGAGGAGTCACTATTTTATTTTAAAAAGTGTTCTTTTGTATTATCTCTATAGTAATTGTATGTATCTGTGAGCGTGTGCGCGCTTACTTTTGGGCCTCACCATCTGTTGATCAATTTTATTTCCTAGTTTGGTGAATGATGATGTTAAAAGAGAACGAGATAGACCCTAAAATTACATGAAAGGAAGTTGTCTCGAAAGATCTATAAATTTTGGGGATCCATGCAAACTTAGCAAAAGATAGGGCAACACAATGGAAGAAAAATAAANAAAAAAAAAAAAAAAAAAAAAAAAAAAAAAAAAAAAAAAAAAAAAAAAAATATATATATATATATATATATATACATATATGTTGAGGATATTTTTAGACGTTAGCATTTTTACTGTAGGGTCTATGCTTTCTAGTAGTGGTTTAGCCGTTAAGAGATTTTTTATGTGTAGAAATAATGCCTTTTTATTTGTATGTGCATAATATTTGCATGAGATGAGTTTTAAATGAATTAATGTGGTCAGTGAGATACAATGTTTGGGATGCCAAACTCAAGTTGTATCTTTTTGCACACCAATGATCAATGGAAACTCCTTTTGAATTAAAAATGTGGTAAGTGAGAATTCATATAGCTGACCGCAATTTGTTTGGAACTGAGGCGTAATTGTTCTGATCCACGTACACAAGACAGAAAAACATTTCTGCAAAAAAGTTTATCATGTCTTTCGGGTAGGTGGTGGCTATCTGTTCTAAGAATTGATCTTGTATTCTTCATTTTGCCTTGTATTTGCATTGTACATCTGGAAAGAGATCTGGACTGCATTGCCAAACCTTTGCCTGCACTTGGTCTATGTCCGGGGCCGGGGAACTCTTGACACCAGGCAAGTTTTTTTATTTACTTAATAATGACTTCTAGTCATACAAAAATGGAATCATTTCCGTTTGGTGTTACATAAGATTATTTCCAATTCCATTTACTTTCAAGTTATGTAGCCAGCAATATAGTGTAGCAGTATGTGTTTTCTATTGACAAAATGGTAATGCAATTTCTGTTTTTAATGCTTACATTAAAATTTGCTGATCGCCACAGTTGACAGGTGGTATTAAAGTGAACTTTATATGATTTGTTCATGGGTTAGCTCGATTCAGATTGCTGTTAGACTTCTTTGCACTAATTTGTGGTGATGCCTGATTGTATGATGTAAATAGCATACACATAGTGAAAGGTGACATCTCCACCATCGTAAAAACAGATTTTCATCCTTCTATTTTCCCCTGAAATGTTTTCACAGGCTTGGAGGAATATTGCTATGAAAAATATACAAAATTTGTATAAAAGCGTAAACTTGACTAGTCTAGATAGAAGAAAAGAGTTGAGAAGGCATCTCTTTAAGTGGCTATTTTTGTTAAGTAATAAAAAGAAATATATCCTGTAGTATATAGCTTAAAATGTTGTGGAGGTTACGAACTGCTAACTACTTTTCGGAGACCCTGTTCCTTTTTAGCATGTGAAATATGGATATTTATTATCGAAACTTTCTGACAATCAAAATCGCTTTGCAGTTTGAAGAATTTGGCCTGAATTATTTGTTGATCATGATTAGATACCTTATAAGAATGACTTCTTGGATGAAATAAATATATGATGATTTGTAAATCTTTATCTAAAAGCTAGATGAAAAGGACAGCCCGGTGCACTAAGTTCCCGCTATGCGGGAGGTCCGGGAAAGAGCCGGACCACAAGGGTCTATTGTACGCAATCTTACCCTTCATTTTCTGCAAGAGGCTGTTTCCACGGCTCGAATCCGTGACCTCCTGGTCACATGACAACAACTTTACTAGTTACCCCAAGGCTCCCCTTCTATCTAAAAGCTAGATGAATGTCATTTAGTATTTCAAGTCAAAAGGTCCTACAATCAGTGCATATCTTGTGAATTGTGATGTTTTGCTGCCTGTTTTCTGAAAGGCATTCTTGTTGAACAGGAAATTCAAGCTTCTGGCAGCTTTTCCTTGGATATGCATTGCTGAAAAAAAAGGCCTCTACTGCTATATATGATAAACGTGGAAACTTTTTTTTCCATCAGAACTGCCAAATAAATCCAAGAATGTTGGGCTTAGTTTTTCGTGAAGAGCCTTGGTACTGGTTAAATTTAGCCTCTTGAAGGTAAAATCTTTCCCTTATTGTGTTTTACTGATAAAGCAAAAGGAAAGAAAGGTAAAATGTTTCCCAAATTGTTGATATGGTTATTTGCCCTGCATTTGAGAAATTCCTGCTGGATTGTTCTATTGAAGTGGAAACGTAGGCCCCCGGGGCTTGAGTGTAGTGGTAAGAGCATAACATTTGATGTGTGGGTTAGACACACATCATGAGTTCGAACCCTGCCTCAGACAATAATCGTGATGAAGGGTAGAGGGGCAGACCTATATCTACCGAGTTTCAAACCATGTGCCACTTGCCCTTGAGGATTTCTCGGTCATGAAAAATTTAAAAAGAAGCAAAAAAATTCTTAGGTAGTCTTTGATTATGTCTCGTTTGATCGTGGAATACCTTTCTTTTACTATATCTTTGAGTTGTCAAGACAGATGTGGATAAACCGTAGTGTCCGGGCCAGCTTGCACTTTCACGGACTTGTCACCTCAGCAACAGGGTACCAGGTGACTCTATGCACCAAGGCTCGGATAGAAGGAAGAAATCTAGTGTTTTTGCCTCCGCTGGGATTTGAACCTGAAGCCTTATGGGTCTTACCCGCTTCATTGACCACTAGGCGTGTGCCACTTGCTAGCCATAACTAGATGCCTTTAAGATGACTTATTGGATCATATGCAACTCATAATGATTTACAAGTCTACATAAATGTCCTGTCTTTTTCAAGTCAAGAGGTCAACTAGATTTAGTACAAAAACTTGTGAATTGTGATGATTGCCAAAGATTTATTGCTGTCTATATTTCCTAAAATGTCTTTCAGTTTGAACAGAATTGAAGTTTTTGGTAGCTATTCTTTGGACATGATTTGCTGAGAGAAAAGGCCTCTGCTGCTGTATATGAAAAAGAAAAGGGGGTAAGTTTGTACAATCAGAACTGAGAAAAAAATCCAAGAATCTTTGCCTTTTTGGTGCTATAGATCTAATGATGTATAGCAAACACCAGCAACTGTATGCTCCTTTTTATGGATTTTTTTTTTCACATTGCAATTAATGTGCCTTATTTTCACCACTGAATAGATGAATGCCTCTGGTTTAGCTTCTTGATTACCTTTAAATGAATGTACTAGAGTTTTCTGTGGAAAAAGAAGACATAAAGTTTTTCCCTTGTAGTAATTTGTAGATATAGTAATTTGCCCTGCAATTCAGAAATACTGCTGGATTGTACCTATTTTTTTGGACTAGACATGTTGGATTGCATTATTGAAGTGGAGACTTGTAGGAAATTTTTAGGTAAGCTTAGTGTGCGTTTGGACATAAGAATTGTGAAATTTTGGAAAAAAAGTGAATTGGTATTTGAAAATTAGAGTTGTGTTTGGACATGAATGCACTTTAAAGCTATTTTTTGAATTTTTGTGAGTGATTTGAAATGAAAATTTTGAAAAATAGTTTTTTGGAGTTTTTTAAATTTTCGAAATTTTTTGAAATTCAACTTCAAGTGAAATCTGATGGCAAACACTGATTTCGAAATATCCGAAAGCAGTGGTGCACGGTTCAAAATTCGGTGGATAATGGATCCGCCCCCTACCATTTTTTACTTAAATACCAGACTTCTTAGATGAGCTTAGATTATGTCAGTGTTTATTTTCTTTGATAAAATACTTTTCGTCCTGTTTGTTTTAGTGTTTATAAATATAATTACTAAAGAATTTTAGGAGACTTAAGAACCAAAAATTGACGTACAATCTTTTGGAATAGATATGGATTTAGCTAATACCAGTGTTAGAACATGTTGGAAGCAAAGTATTTACATTTGGACTAGTTTGGATTTTTGAAAGAAGAATTAATGTTGTTCGGTTGTTCCACTTACATAAGCTTCTATAATTTTGTTAGTAAGGTTTTTAGTTTGACTAGTCTTAGTGTATGCATTTTGCGCGTATTCCCCGTTTTAATGAGTAATTTTTTATTTAAAAAGTTACATAAATATTATTCAAAAATTATATTTGAATTATAAAATAAAAATGTAAGCTCCTAAAATTAATAAATATTAATCATATATAATTAACTTAATGAAGTAAGAAACGTTGTCTCAAATTACTTAAACCTTTGTTTTAGTGTCATAATTTTATTAGTTCAATTTGACAAGTTATCATGCTTCCCTTTTTTACTTTCAATAAGAACACATGGCCTTTAAAGATTTAAGGGTTTTTCTAAAGATATTTTTAAAAATTTATTCTCAAATTCATTTAAGGAGACAAAAACAAAATTAATTAGCTATATTTTTATTACGATTCTAAAAAAAAAAAAATTTAATTCAAATAACACAAAATATTAACTGTACATGAATTAATTATTTTGGGGACAATTGTACATGAATTAATTATTTTAAATAATTAGAATAAGAATTTTTAAAATGCATATTTAATTATTTTGCTTTAAAATAATTTTACGTGCTTCGTGTACTTTTCTTGAATATATGTTTATTTTATCCTTTGGTGATGATTAGTAAACTATACTCTTCAGTCTTCACGTTATACGCACACTATCTCAATGGATAAATTTTACTTTAAAAATCGTATAAATATTATATGGAAATATTGTTTTAAGTTATATAATAAAGGTAGATTCTCCTTCAAATATAATATTAATTATATATATTAAACTCAATAAAAGAAAAAAATATCCTATAAAAGTTCTCAATCATCAATCAATATATTCAACTAAAAAAGTTATTCCAGTTTTATAATTCCATCACTTCAAATTCACATACTTCCTTTTCAGTTTCAGCAATCACACATAACCCTTGAAAAGGTTAGAGTTTTTCTAAAACTTTTTTGATAAGCTATTCACAATTTCATTTTAGAAGACATACACAAGATTAGCACATTGATAGAAAATAATAATTTTTCTCTCACAAGTAAAGTGCAAATTGTTATATATTTTAAATCAATAAACAATACTACCATATGAAAAATTTCCAACATATTACAATAAATAAATAAATTACAATTACTTATTTTGTATAATCAAATTACACAAGATAACGTGTTCTGAAAAGAAAAGAAAAATAAGGACTACTAAACCTAAAGTACTTTAACCAAAAAAGAACGTAAAAAGATGATTTCTAAAACTGGAAGAAGATAAAAGAAATAAGGACTCCTAAACCAAATTTTGTTAATAATTTCTACCTAGTTTAATAAGGAAATTTTTTATTAATATAATTCTAGTTGATTCTAAATTCCTAAACATTAGGAAAATAACTTAAATTACAATTTTATCCAATGTAAAATTTATTTTTAAAGGGTAAAAAAGGTGAACAATATTTCGCTAAGGGGTTTCGTGCTTTTAATATAGTACTAGTCTCTACGTTCGTGCGATGCACGGATATCGTATGTCAAATATTATGAAACACATACAAAAAATAATAAACTTTCGATTGCATAAATATTCTAAAATTAATTGCAACTGAATATGTACGAAGTTTAATACGTACAAAATTCAATAATCAGTTCCTTAAAAGAAAAAGGAATATAATATACAATCAAACCAGCTAATTTGGTAATATTTTGGCACAATAAAAGGAAAAAATAGAACTAAATATTATGAAATCATACAATTATATGATTAAAGTTGTAAAATCACTTAAAGAATATAATAATACTTAATATTATTTCTCTTGTTCAATGATTTTTTTTTATGTAGTTAAGCTTTAATGATTCATATACATGAAAATCATATTTATCAAGATATATTAATAACAAAGAAACCAAAGATAGGAAGTCACTTAGTCATTCGTAGCTTCTTTGGCATTAAATTTTTATGTTGTTTTGTTGTTCCATTTACGTTTTGGTATTATTTGTTATGTTCTTTGGCCAGTACACTCATGCCATAAATTGATATGATGAAACCTTAAACCCACATCATAATCTTAGACAGGAATTGCATTATCCGGTTTATTTTATAATTTAAATTTTTATCTAAAATTAAATGGACTATATTTTGTTGTTCCAAAATAACGCGAACTTATAAACCAACAAAAGTTCCAAAATCATTGCAAGTTCTACTTGAAGACACCAGGAACACAAGTGTTGCTACTACAACTTGGAGGCTCAAATATTCCATTTAGAGCACACCAATTTTATTGAAGATGAATCCTTGATGGAATTAATTAAATATGAATATTATTGAATATGAAATCTTGATGGAATTGAATATACTTACCGTAATGTCCTTTTCATAGAAATCTCGTCATACTTAGTTTGACTCGGAAACGATTTAACGAGCTGATCATCCGAAATTCTAGTAGACTCATTTAATTAAATTAAAAATTATAAAGTTGCATATTACAATTTTATCCTGTATGAATTATTTTTTTTAAGAAGTAATTGTAACGACCCGACCGGTCATTTTGAGTATTTCAGCCAATTTCCCCCATTTACTGTTCAATTTGTGTTTTACAGTTGTTATGTGACTTGTCGGGGTAATTGGTTCGGGTCCGGTAAGGTTTCGGAATGAATTGAGACACTTAGTCTCAAAGATGAAAACTTAAGTTGAAAAAGTTGATCGGATATTGACTTATGTATAAACGACCCCGAAATAGAGTTTTGATGATTCCAACAGCTCCCGTATGGTGATTTTGGACTTAAGAACGTGTCCGAAAAATTATTTGGAAGTTCGTAGTTAAATTAGGCTTGAAATGACTAAAATAGAAATTTAAGTTGGAAGTTTGACCGGGGAGTTGACTTTTTGATATCGGGGTCGGAATCCGATTCTGAAAATTGAAATAGGTCTGTTATGTCATTTATGACTTGTGTGCAAAATTTGAGGTCAATCGGACTTGATTTGCTAGGTTTCGGCATCGAAGGTAGAATGTTCCGACGTCGTTTCTTCAAGAATAAGTGGTATCACATTAAGCAAATGAGCTCCAAATTCAGTTTTGATTAAAGCATTTGATCCGTAATGAAATTTCGGAGCCATAGCAAAAAGAATCGTCGAATTCAGACATCGTATGAGAGAGTTATGCCCATTTCGGTGTCAGAAAAGATTTTCCGTTGCAGCCAACTCCCAGGGTAGCGTGGGGCGCTAGGAATTGTTGGGGTTCTGGAAGCCACAGGCAGCGCCCCACGTGTCACGACCCAAAATCTCACCTGTCGTGATGGCGCCTATCTTAATATTAGGCAAGCCGAAAATCTCAATAAACTATCATATCTTTTAAATTTGAACACAAAATAATTAAATTAAGCGGAAGAGATCTCACAATTTCAAATATAACACTCTCAAAACCCGGTGTCACTGAGTACATGAGTATCTAATATGAATACAATGTCTAACTGATAAAAATTACTGTGTGAAAGTATAGAACGATACAATCTAACAGTCGCCGTGTCCGAAAGTACCTGGATCTGCACACGAGGTGCATAGTGTAATATGAGTACAACCAACTCAATAAGTAACAAGACTAACCTCTGGACTGAAAGCAATGACGATCTCCGCAGGTACAATCTAGTATAAATAATAGTACAAAAATATAGGCATGCTTTCAAGTTTAACAGTTAAACTCAGTACGAGTGAAATAGATCAATACTGCATGATATGAAGAATATGACATCTCAGTAAAAAAGACCTCATGTAAATACTGGTCACAAATTATCAGGTCACTCGATACTGTTTATGGCCAATCCATCCTAGGGGTGTTCCAACCCGTATATAAATACACATCGACTGAGAGTCAGTCACCCAATACCGTATAAGGCCTATCCAGCCCCGGGGTAATTTATCCCCAAATGCAAATGAGACGGACAAGATCCATGTCCACGTAAATTCATTACAATATAAATAAGTAAGGCAAGTCCATGCCCTAGGAAAATCCACCCCGAATATATATAAAATCATCGTAAGTAAGGCGGGAAAAATGCGATTCTGCGACCAATTCTGCGATCGCAGAACCATTATGCGACCGCAAAATGGTCGCAAACCTGTCCAGTGAAGGCTATTTCTGGGCATCGCTTTTGCGACCAGCATACCCATTCCGTGGTCCATTAAGCGACCACAGACCTGCTTTCGGAGGGTTAATTTTCCTATTTTCATAACCCGATCCC